GCATTTAAGTAATTTTATTTTTTTAATGTATTAACTGATTAAAAAAATGGGAGTTTTCTTGGTTGGATTTACACGTCATTAACATTTAAAAAGTTAAGTGATTTGCTGGCAAATTAACGTGACACCTGTCATTTAACTGACGGAAGGACTATTTTGGTACAAAAATGAAAGTTTGAGGATAATTTTGGTACTTTTTAAAGATAAGGGACAATTTTGGTAACAAAGTGTAAAGTTGAGGGACTAAAATGGTACTTAAACCTTATTTATATGCATAATCATACTTAAATAAGCTTAAAATAGCTCTAAGAGACCCAACATATCACAAGTTTACCAAGAAGATTTTACTAGGTAGAACACAGTGGAACAATGTGAGAATTTGAGCTCAAAACTAACCCTAACAGCAGCATAAAAGCTAGACAGCAAGATGGGGGATTTTTCCATTTAAAGTAGTCTCAAAATGCTTGGAAAATGCCCTAAACAATAGGGATTTTCTAGGAAAAAATAACAGAGAATTCTGGGTAAAAACAGTAGCAAAACAATGCAGAATACAAGCCAAAACAAGGCAACATTCAAGCAAAAATACAGTAGCGAAAAGGCAGCTAAAATAAAGCAATAACAAAGGGGTTTAAAGCAAGAGAATAGTAGCTAAATATCTAGTAAAAATCATGACACAATATGGTAGTATGTACTGTAGGAATAAAGCAGAAAACATAGCAAATTTCTGGGTTTTTTTAAAGAGCAATTCTAGTCACATTTTGAACTGGAATTTCCAATAGAATTTGCACCTATAAATTGACCAATTTAGGTTGAGTGGTCAACAGATAAATTGTAACCATGTGTCTTAGCATTCTATAGTCTCAAGAATCACCTTCATCTGACATCTATAGAGAGAGTTATGGCCAAAATATTGACTCAAGATCGAGCTGCCAGCTAAGTTCGTTAGTGGGAATTGAAGTTGTAGTAAAGTTTTCACCATGAAAATAGCTTATTGGGTTGAATGTCCAACACAAAAGTTGTAGATCTACTTCTTAACTTTCTATAGAATAAAAGATGGACTTAATTCGATAACTACAAAAGGAGTTATGGGCAAAATACTACAACAAGGTCATGCTATCAAAATTTTTCTAGCATAAAAAGATCAGATTCTGCTGGTAATTGATTATGGGCAAAATCAAGGAGGAAACTACATAAACACTTCTAAAATTAAAAACCCCTAAATGATTGGAGTTAACCTACTTCAAAATAAGGATGTAAAGTTGAGCAATATGGATGATTTCTTGGCAAAAGCCTACTTTTAGCCCCCCACCTTACCAAGTTTGAATGTTTTAGCCCCCCACCTTATATTATGACAATTTTAGTTCCTCACCTTACTAGATTTGTAGGTTTTAGCCTATCACCTTATACTATGGCACTTTTAACCCCCCACCTAATAAAATTGAAAAAAATAGCCCTCACTTTGTAACATTTTGTTAGTTCAGTTAACTAATTATTAATTTTATTAATTGACTGTTAGTTGATTGTTAACTGATAAAAACTTTCTTTTATCTAACAGAATTAACAGAACTAACTTTATAATATTTCGTTCATTTTGTTAACTAACTATTAGTTAATTGTTAGTTGACAAAAATTTACTTTCAGTTAACAAAGTTAACAGTCAGTATAAAGTGAGCGTTATTTTCTTCGATTTTAATAAGTAAGGAGTTAAAACCTACAAATCTAGTAAGGTGAGGGGTTAAAAGTGTTATTGTATAAGGTGAGGGGCTAAAACCTTCAAACTTAGTAAGGTGAGGGGCTAAAAGTAGGTTTTTGCCTGATTTCTTACCAAAAAGTTACAGAAGGAGCACTTACTAGGCATCCAAATCACGAATAAGAATAGAAGAATAGAAAGTAATGATCTTGTTGAAAAGAAGTAGCATCAGAGAAAGGTTAGAAGGTTGATGGCTTCAAGGGTTTTGAATTTAGAATGGAAGAGGAGAGGAAAAACCCGAAAGAAGAAGAAGAAGAATAAGAAGAAGAAGAAGAAGAAGGCCCACAAAAGGAAATTAGGTTTTTCCTTCCCCCTTTAATCTATTCGTGCTCCCCCCCCTCCCTTTTTTTGCTACTTATGTTCCCCAAGATTGCAGAGTTAGACAACTTGGTCCCCCATTAAAATCCCCTTTCATATTAGTCATTTTACACCTAAATTAAATAAGTAAACTATTCAATATAAGTGCTCAAAATTTGGGGTATTATAGCAACCTAGGGGTTTAAAGGCTTGTTGCACATGCTAAGTGCAAACGTGATTCCTATGAAAGTGAATTAGGCTTTATTTTCTTGTTTTTTTATTTTACTTGAGGATGAGTAAAACTTAAGTTTGGAGGAATTTGATAAGTTGAATATATGTAGATATTAACGTGAAATTGTTGCCTTAATATTATTGATATTTGGATGAGTTTTATGAGATTTTTCTTGATTTTACATAATTTTCCTTTTTTGTGTAGAAAAGGACTTAATTAGAAGAAATCATAATTTTTAGGAGCAAATTGTAGAGATCAAAAAGCTGATGATTAAGTTGTGTAGAATCTAGAAGTAAGGGACCAAGACTGTAATTTTACCATTAACAGAAATTACTTAAAAGGCCAAAAAAACCTGACACAATGATGTTGTGCATTGAACAGAAGGTGTCAGTACCTTGTTGAAGGTATTGACCCTTTACATGATTTTCACAAAATCCATGTTTAATTTATAATTTTTGTGTGGATCCCACTTCTATTTCAATTAGGTTTTTTAAAATCTCATAAATACACATCCAAATTCAAAATTGAGGGAGCTTTGGAGGCTCGTGGTAGCCTTCTTTTGGGCACATTGGAGATCAAAATAGAGGTTTCATCAATAAATCAATAATAGAAGATCAATGAGTTTAATTTTCTCAAATTGGGTTTTGTTTTTCCTTAGATTTTTTTTTATCTATTGTTTGATATTTGAATGTTCATAATTATGATTTCAAGTTTTATTATTTTTATTATGAATTGATTTAGTTAACTAGGGCTAAGATGTAGCCTAATCAATTCAATATAGGTTTTTATGATTTTTATATTGGCTCAATGCACTCCAAAAAGGGAGGTGAATTAGAGTTAAAAAATTTTCACCTCTTTGCAACCATCAAACAAAAATTAAAGAGATAGTATGGAATAAGAGTTTGCACAATGAATTTATAGAGTTTTGGTCTAACCATTTGGAGTCTAGTCCTCTACCTTGGCTTCACTCATCAAGGATTTCCTCCACACTCTTCGCTAAGAAAAACAAGGGTGGCTTAAAGGAGTCACTTAATTCTTTTACAAGAAGAAGGTGTTTCTCTCAAATCTCACATCTTTACTAGTTAAACCCCAAGAATCCTTTCTACAAATCACTCTTGAAGGAATAATCACACCCCCAAGATCACTCACAAATAGAACAAAAAGAGGATTATAAGAAAAGATCACTCAAAGATCAAAAACTCAAGTTAAAGCACAAGTTGGTAGGTAGAGATATTCAATACAATACTCTAAAAACTTGTTCTAGATTTACTACCAACCATATTTATAGCCCTTTGGTCCAAAATAGCTGTTTCTAGTTGTTGGGGGTCATTAAATACTCTGTAGGTCATATAATTTCAAGTTGCAAATTTGTCAATACAGCCGGCTTATAATTCTACAGCTGGCTTTGTGGGGTTCTTACACATTCTGTTTTCTTCGTAGAGCTAGCTTAGATTCTTAGAGCCAACTTTACCGATTTCCTACACATTCTGTTTTCTTGCATAACTAGCTACAAAATATAAAGTTGGCTTTGGGATTTCAACTTTAAAAACATTAAATAATCCTCAAATAACTCGACCGTTGTGCATTAATTGTGCCATCACAACAGGCCGCAAAGTTAAAGCCGACCTTGCATTTGTTTTCCGTGCGTGTCAAACTTTGGACTTAACATTTTCACCTGTAGAGGCGGCTGTAGCTCTTAGAGCTGGCTCTCTACACTTGCTTTCACTAGAGTCGGCTGTAGATTTCTAGAACCAGCTCTATACACATTTTCCATCCTTTTTGGTCCTTTTTAATGCAATCTAAGTTCACTTACTTTTGTAATCTTTTGAAAGTTCAACTACATGCTTAATGAACAAATTAGTCATTTAAATATGTTTTGTAATCATCAAATTCATAAGTACAACATTTTACACTTTTGAGATTGCTATTCTATCATGAGTATATATTATTATTCTTAATGCTTTTAAATGTTTGATCACCATTAAAACTAATTTGGAGAGCGTAATTGAGACTAAGAAGAGATTTTATGTAGTAACTTCTAGTAATATATACCATGAATTGAACAAAAGCCAGAGATAGACCAACGTAATTCGTGTAGCATTAGTGATAAGTAGACTTGATTTCTACGTAAACTAGGAAATTTCACATAACATAATGCATCTTTGTCTATTTAAATTCACATGGAGATATAGTGGGTTAATAGATTAAGATAGGTTTGGTATAACTTGAGAAAGTATATCGAATAGAATAGGAAATCTCGCTGTCACATAAATAGTAACATCTTGAAAGTATAATAATAAAAAATCCATGTTAATTGATTATGGTGAAGTCGATGCCTTAGTACCTTATATCTTGGTTAATTTTATTTTAATTGTTATTTCCTTCTTATCATTTTTAATTAAAGCTTCTTTCTTTTTGATTGTTCAAATAAATTTAGATTAATTATTTTAGCACTTAATTAATCACAATCTTCGTGGGTTCGATACTCTACTTATCATTATATTACTCAAAGTGACTAGTACACTTGTTAGAGTGATTTTAGTGCATGAAAGACTATGAACCCATGGTTTTGCATAGTAATTTTTTTGGGTAGTTAAAATTGTAATGGACAATGGGTTATTTCCTTGTTTTATCTTAAACTTGGGTTCAATGAAAAAGAAAAAAGGAATAAGCTTTCACCCTTTAACAAACATTCTACAACTTTTGGCTAACCTTTTTCCTTTATTTGTTAGAAGTGGTTGACATCGGTAGTATCAAGCTTGACCACACCTACTTCCCATTTTGATGATGGGATGTGATTCAACATTCCATGCATTTCATGCCACTACTCTCATAATCTTTCCCATTATCCTTGTGGATTTGATTCCATCGGTGTGACAGCTTACATGAAATAAATTCTTGTACCAAATACAAGTGTATTATGAAAATAGTATATATTGATGAAAAATGAGTGATGAATAGGGATTTTGTAAGAGGTTTGTTGTTGGGTTTTATCCTTATCATTGACAAGCTTTGTCATTGGTTGACAACCCTTGAATCTTGCATGCTTTATTACTCATTTCCTGTCATTGTGTTCATGGGTAGTGGCGAGTGAGAGTTGCCAAGCAATATGGGTGATAGCTCTTGTTAATGGTAAATATTGACATCTTTCATTAGATTCAAAATTTTGACCAACATACATTGAGGGCATCAACTTGTTGTCAAGTTATATGATAGTTTTTTCACGCCTCAGAACCCAAATTCGAGGCGCGACAAACGCCGTACACTCGTGAAGGGATCTCACAAATGCACAAGACTCGGAACTTATCCAATTCACATCTGATAATCCAATAACTTAAATCAAATATCTCAAAATAATTATATGTCCAACATGACTTAAACTAAAAATCTCAAGGTCAAATCTCTCGTAAACTAACAATCCATTAAATGAATTTATAAAATCTCCAATTAAAATCTTGCTTACAATATCATGATCTATATCCAAAATCCATATTCAATTTACAAAATGGCTAGCCTTCTAACTCGTCACTTCCAATGGTTTTCCCGTCCTCGGTTTCGCTTCCTGAAATGGTGGACAAGGAAAAACTATGAGATAAAATATCTCAATAAGTAAAATATGGAGTGCCCTTATTAAACTTATAGCATGCCAACAAGTGTAATTATGAAAAACGGATATAGTATGGGAATGAAATAAACGTCTCCTCTATAGGTCATGGCCAGTGTTATAAACCTCCCACTGGCAGGCTACACTATTTACTGGTGTATAATCCCCACAAGCAGGGTCACTCGAACGAACCGGTTCTATCAATAACATATCGACATATGCTAGTGTTTAACCCCCACTAGCAGGGTCACTAATAACATGACCACATCGGAGACAAAACAGGCAGAAGTTAACAGAAAAATCATAATTCACCAACCACTTTCAAATCATCAGGACAATCAATTAAATTTCAAGTAGGCATGCTCAATTCAATGGAAAACATAATAATTTCATTTCAAATCAGTCATTCTCATATTTGTGTAAAATGGGTTTAGTCCCGCCACCATTTCAAAATAAGTCAAAACATGCTTTTAAAAACTGTGAGAGCATTACATAAATTTACTTACCTCAAATTCGGAACTCAAGCCAAGTACTCGGGTGACAGAACAATCACAAACCTAATCAAATATTTCAGAATTAATACCATATTATCACAAATTCAAAGTGAAATCATCATTAGGACTACCTCTAATCACGATGCTATTTCTATCAATCTCCACATTATTGGACATTTCCAAATTCGTTCTTGTATTACAAACTAAACATTTAAATCCCCATTAATTGTTGGCCATTAGTGCGTGAACAGTGCCGTGAAGAGTGACTGATATTTCCAGAATTCAACTACAGCCAGCTAAAAGACCAGAAAAATGGATATTTCATCAGATTTTTCAAAGCAAAAACAGACTGAAAAGGAGCAGAAAACAGTAGCAAATTGCAGAATTTTCTGTGTGAACAGTAACTGCACCAGAATGAAATCAGTGGAAAATATGAATGCTTAGAAGAATATTGGAACATAAGAGTGCAAGGTAGAATGCCTCAAAAATTCAGCAACAAAGCAGCATTCACCAAGAATCAAGATCAAATTTAACTAAGTAGTCAAAATTGAGAGACAAGAGTTAACCATGAAACAAGCAATAGAATTCCAAAAATTAGGCTCACAAAAGAGATTCCAATAATCACAACCAGAACAAGGATTGAAGAGCAGATATAACCAGGATATCAAGATCTAGCACCTCAAGTAACACGAATTAATTGACAAAATAATCAATAGTGGGGATCAGGATACTTAGAAGATATTGTCTCCTAATTAAAAGGGCAAACAAAAATCAAAACAGCCAAATAAAAGAACCATTTCTCTGGGAACAAACTCTAGGGCATCAGGTACTTCAAAGACTACCCTTTCACCTCGTAGCCCATGGAGGCTAAGCATATTTACAATCAAGTCATCCTAGACATCCTAGAGTCAAGTCAAAGCTAAGACATCAAGGATACAGAGATTAACACTTGCAAGAGAAAAGGATTTTGATGCCTCATATAGGTATTTTCCAATAATCATCACCCCTCCTAAAGAGGTTTCCATATGAACAAAAATCAAAAATCAAGAAGATCAATAGGTATACTAAAACAAAAACTAGCAGAATATGTAGGATTTGAGCAAGAGCAATATAGAGAATTTGAACAAGAGCAACGGTTAGGACAAGAATGGTTTTTAAAGACAATTCAAAATAGATTCCAAAACCAAATATCAATTGATTTTCAAGACAAGGATGCTAACATGACTTTACTCCAGGCAAGGTTCAAGATAAGATTCCAAGAACAGTGCAAGAATTAATTTCAAACAAGTATCAAGATAATGAGGATTTCAATAATCATTATCCATTTTCTGGATTTTAGTTTCAAGAACAAGTACAAAGCAATCTCAAGAAAGATTCAAGATGGATTTCAAGAGTTTCAAGTAGTTCCAGGTATCAAGAATGTAGAGATTAGCAACAATAGAGAGTTTAACTTTATGACAGCTTGCCAATCTTCACAAAAATACAGCAATTTCAATTGAATTGATCACTATTTTGATTAACCAATATAGAAAAATGAACCATGAAACTCCAAATGGAAAAAGTGAAACTTCATTATAAGACTTTCAGAAAGATAATGAGCAGCAAAATTACCAAGTTATCCAACTCCTAAAACGCATCTAGAAAACAAAACGCATCTAGAAAACACACAACATTTGCTAAAATAGCCTTGAATCTCTTACAAAGTAGAGGGTGGCTGATCTTCCACTGGTCATGTGACAAACATAACAAATTTCTCAACCAGCTATGCTGTAGAGACCAACAGGATCAATAACAAAAGATCTCTGTAACTCCCCAGATTTTACAATTGTGGCAAAAGAGCATACAAAAATTCTATTCAAGTAACAAGTCTAAACAAGTGCAGACTATCAGAAAATGACCAAGTTTTAAAACAAGGTCTTAAGAACATGGCGAACAAGATTAATTTCATGAATCTACACAGGGTATGAAGGCAGGAAACAAGAACAATCTGATTACCATTTCATCAAAATGGATTAGAAAATTCAGGCAACATGAATCAGAATCGTCCCTTATAGGTTAAATACCCTTTTTGGTCCCTCTACTATAGGAAAAAGCCCCTTTTTAGTCCCTATACCAAAAAAATCCCCTTTTTGATCCTTACTGTTCACAAATCTGGCCCCTTTTTGGTCCCTCCGTTAAATTTTGGCTTACGTGGCATGTTAATTAACGGAAAATTTTTTTTTTTCTTTACTTAAATTACGTGTGAAATCCATTTGACAAAACTGGATGACATGACCAAATTTTTTATTTTTAATTACCAATATACCCTCATTTTCTTCCCCCATCATCTCCTTCTTTCAGCCTTTTATTTCTTCTTTTTTTTCTTTTTTTTTTTCTTACCTTCACTATGAACCCACGAGATTTTTTCTTTTTTTTT